TTATAGGTTATGCTCATTACATGGAAAGGACAGATGAAAGGACAGATCTGCCCTTAGTCTTTACATAACAAATAGAGCAAAAAATAAGACTGAAATAAATAACAACTGAAACAACTAAATGACCAATAGCTAACCCTAGGCAGACTAGAACATCTTCTACCCTACGAACACAGAGGGACCGTAGCTGTGGGGCCCACATCAGTGTTCTCTACACCTATCATTTTTTGTTTTTCCAAGTTCTACATTTTTAGTCTTTGGCATTCTTTATGGAATGCCTGTTTACATTGAATATGAGCATTATGATCGGGATTGGAGATACTCCTCATTCATTATTAGAGGATTGTGCATTGGTTTTATATTGTATGGTGGGAGAATTTCCTTCTACTTACCTGGGCTTGCCAATTGGAACAAAATCTTCCTTTTCCTCTACTTAATATCTGTAATTTTTGGGAAGGATAACATTGATTAAAAGTGTTCTATCCAATACCAGTTTATTATTTATCCTTACTTAAAATTCCAGCTTAAGTTGAAAAGTCAATTGGGAAGAGTGCAAATACAAATATGTACACTGCAAAACCTGGTATTTGCACTGTACATATAGTACTTCCAAACTAAGGCTCAGTTTGGAAAGAGTACAAATACAAATATGTATAGTGCAAATACAGGTTTAGAAATACAAAATACAAGGCTTTGCACCACTGTACATATTTTTATTTGCACACTTTCGAAACTGAGCCTAGGGAACATTATGAGAGACACAATGCAAGGTACATTGACAAATACCTTTTCTTTCAGTAATATGAACATTTTAGATAATTAGGAAGGTAAATAAGATCAATAAAACAAGGAGAGAACATACCTTGATTAGGTTTTGTACCCATGAATCTTTTGCCAAAGCTCGGGTCCTGATTTTTCTTCTCATGCTAGGGTATTGCTCAAAGACAATGTGTTACACCTTAACCCAAGTGTACTGTCAAGTGGGCAAGGGTCTACTTGGGTAGTCCCTGAAGCAACACATCAAAACAATGCTTGGTTGTGGTGTTAAATACGAAAAGGTTTCTACATCCCTTTGGACAAGGGCAGGTAAAGAAGTTAGTCCAAGAAACACAACCTTGTTTAGCCACTTGGAATGTTGGAACATTAGTAGGAACAGTTCTATAATTAGTAGACACAATGAAAGGGAGAAGGATTAATATTGCAAGCTTATGGGAAGCTAAATGGAAGGGAAAAAGCTAAAGAAGTTGATGGCTACAAACTATGTTACGCTGGAGAAGTGAATAATAGAAATGGACTAGCAATAATGGTAAATAAAGATTTAAAGAAATGAAATTATAAATGTTAAAAGAGTTGGTAATAAAATAATTTTAACTACACTTATTTTAAGGAGGAAATCATTTTTTATATGGCTTGTCCAGGATATTTACTTATGATAACATGTAACACAAATGCATGATACTTCAAAGAAGATACGTCCTTGTAATAAAATGTAACAATTGTTCATTAATAATGTAGGAAATAACTTTTTTTCTTGGCTTGGCAATTGTCATGCCTTGGTATGGTTGCACTTTACCTTGTATATCCAGTGTTGATATCAGCATGACTTGTGGCTAAGGCTTAAAATATCGATACAATACGTCCGATACAGGGTGTACCATATTGGTATTGGTGGTGGACGATACTGGATATACTACAACTGGCATTGTATCGTGCCAATCATGTGTATCGATAAATACGGTGTTGTACCAATGCGTATCACATTGTATCAACCAATACAAGCCAATACGCATCGATACACATAGATTCGTGCACAACTCCTATATTAAAAATGCAGCTGGTGCGATTCAAACCCAGGTTTAATTAACTAGACATTAGAGCTTAGCATCTTAAGCTGCTAAGCCACCTTTTATTTGTGATATGAAGTGAAATAAAATATAATTTACTATCTTAATTGTAAACATGCAATCTAAAGAAATGCCATATCAAATATTAATATGTTCAACAATTTCAACGTAAAATTAAATAGAATAATAGTAAAAATTAATATTTATAATTATAAATGAAATAAAAAATTATACTAATTTTATATTTACATCAAAATTTTATTTTCTACTCTCAATAAGTTTATACAAATAAAGACATTAATAATAGAGTAATTATTTTAGTACTTAAAATTCATACATTTTTACATGAATATACATATATATATATATATTAAAATTTTAATATATTTTTATAAATTATTAATTGATATTTCATTTACACTTGATAATAACATATATACTATTTATAAAAATTACAAAATTTTCAAGCATAAAATATTATATTGAATCTATCAAATATATTAATTTCAATTTATATAAAATTGATTTCTTATTTCAGAAAATTTATTGGAATAAAAATGTTAATAATGGAATAATTTTTTTAATTAAAAATTATGAATTTGTGTATGATATGTATTTTAAAAATTTTTAATATATAGATATGAAATATTTTAAGTTAAGATTATATATTTTATAAATTATCAATTGATATTATCTGACAATAAAATTTATTATTTACAAAAAGAAATATATTGTTTATCAAACATTTCAAAATTTAATATTTAGCTGACTTTTTTGTTAATGTTGAAAAGTAAAAATAGTAAAATAGAAAATAATTGATATTAGTAATTAAAATATAATAGTTGTATATGTTTTGTGTCTTAGACTTAAATAGAATAGTAACATAATAATGGATTTATGCATGTGTTAATTTGTAAAGATCTATATAATTGATGGATTATCAACAAAATTGCATGATATCTATGCATCCCATTATATTAATTGTGATATATCTTTTCATATATACCATTAAAATAAACATTTCTTATATATTTATACCTTATTTATAGTTATTTTAACCTTTAAGTTAGTGTAATTGATGTATTACTGATATTTGTCTGTATTTTCCTAGCATATCCATGTATTTTTATATCTTTCATCCGTATCCATGTGTTTCCAAAGTGTATCGTATCCGTATCCATATCCATATCCAAGTTGTCCGATACAATACCCGATACCAATACTTTAATCCTTTCTTGTGGCAAGGCACGTTAAAGTGCCAACAATTCGTAAATCCTTAAGTATGAAATGTCCTGGTAGCACTTCTAGTAGCTTCTATCCTGCCTGTCACAGAGATGTCATCTCAAGTGAATAAAACATAAACTGGGAGTTTTGTCAAAATACCGATCATTAAAGTGTGTTACTTCTTATTCCTTTGTGATTTAAGAGGTCTGTGGCATCCATGAGCATTACACTAGCATCTGCCAATGATCATTAAAAGTTAATAAGAATGCCAGTCTTTTCTGTTTTTGTTATTATTGGCTCCAGAGTAGCATTAAAGTAGTTTTGAATTTTGATTAATATCTTTTCCATTGAATCTCCACAAATAACTTTATATGAAACTACAACGGGATTCTAACATGCTCAAATCTGATTTTTGATAGCGCTACCTCTCCCAGCCTTAATCTGCATGTCCCTGTTTGGTCTTGGTTGTAATTAGATCCTTAAAACCTATCTTACAATCATGGTGTTTCAATTTGTTGTAGGTCCGCCATCTTGAACTTAAGAAGGAGAAGGAAGTTGAGGGAGGAGACCTTGTGAAATTTCTAACAGAAGCTGTTGCAACACAGTTCAGGAACCTCTCTATTCGGAATTAAGCGTGCCCATGGTCTAAAGCTTCACTTGTCGAGGTGCAACTTGTTTTGGTTTAACCTGAGTTTTTGTACATGTTAGGCTTGGGTTTGGGCTTGTGCTTGGACCAGGCCTTGGGTAATTCAAACCTGATTTAAGCCAACCCAAGTTAGACCCACCCAAGCACGACCCGACCTTTAGATATATTATACCATATAGTTTAGAAAAAAAATCATTGCCCGATGTTGGTCCTAGCTATTTGGAATCTTGGGAAGGGTTGTCTGGGTACGGTTCTAACCTTTGGCATTTTTGGTTGAGCTGCTTTGGAGAAGCCATTGCAAGAAGCTTCAACAGAAAGCCCCTTTTCTAGTTGGACAGAAAATTTGGGCTTTCACCAAACATTGCTTATATGCTATCCAGGTAGGGTCTACTGTGCAAAGCCAAAGCTGTCGCAGGAAAGCCTCCCAAATGGGCACTTAAGCTTTGTGCTTTGGGGCTTAAAAGTGTTTTGGCTTTAGATCTTATGTTTTTAAAAGCAACTCTTACAAAATGCTCAAAACACTTTTTGGCTCATTTTTGTTTCCCACAGCCCAAAGCTCAAAAGCAAAAGTATATCCAAATGGAGCCTGAGACTTGGAGAGGGACTAGTGTAGGACTCTCTGCCATTGAGATGAATGATTAGCCAAGTATTGCCATCCTCTGGCAGTCTGATCAGTTAGAACATCTTTAGCTCCCCTCAGTTAGAAATCAATGTGCTATCCTGATAGTGATCGGATCAATAATGACAGAATTGGACTGTCTCATGTTAGAGAAAATTCTGTAAGTCCTTCCCATATGCTCCCCAGAGTTATCATTACAGTGCATCACATAATTTTTGCCCTTGTAAGGCAAAAGAAGCCTTTTTTTTTTATCAATAACTGTGGATTGAATTAATATTAAAAATATGAGAAAATTACAGGGCAAGGGGGCTAAACAATCATAGCTCCCAAAAACAACCATTAAGCATCAAAAGAACAAACATTACAAGACAGCCCAAAAAAAAAGAATGTCTGTTCACCCCTTGTCTAGCTAGACCATCTGCCCAAGAGTTCACACTTCTTTTTACCCATTTATATTGGATTTCCATGTCCTTAGTCAGCCACTTGAATTTCCTCTTTTCATTACTGTAATTCCAAAGTCTAAGACTATATCTCCCACCCCAACTGGTCCAGAATACATAGCTAACTGCTTCCCTTGTTCATCTCTTATTACTCCTATTCCGGATGGCCCTGGATTGCCCAAGCTGCTCCATCAAAGTTTAGTTTAACAAAGTCATGGGGCGGGGGGATCCAACAAACATTTGAGGCCTTCCTCATTGGAACAAGTTCTGCTATCTCCTTCTACTTTCTTTACAGCTCATCAACTGAGAATTCTACGAACAGAGCCAAGGTTTTCAGCCAGTGTATAACCCTAATGTGGATGACCTCCAGCATTGCTTCAAACTTCTCTCCTTATCTTTAAATATTCGTGAATTTCTCTCCTCCCAAATAGTCCAACAGACTGCAGCCCTCATACACCTCCACATAAACTTGGCCCTTTTTGTTGGCCAAAATGGCATAAATGTGAATAGGCTTTGCACATTCGAAGGGGGGGTCCACCTGCACCCAAACAAAGAAGTACACCACTCCCAAATGATGTTAGTGAACCGACAGGAGATTAGTAAGTGATATCCAGACTCACCATCAGCTTTACAGAGGACACACCAGTGAAGACAAAAACAACTATTGGGTCCTTTTCTTTGAAGTAAATCTTCTGTGTTAACTCTTTTCAGAAAGGCTTCCCAACAGAAACTCCCAACCTTAGGAGGTATAGGATGACACCACACCTCTTTAACAGGGAAAGACAAGCTAGAAGAAGAAGAATGTGTGAGAGCACTAAAGAAAGAGTCACAAGCGAAAGAACCAGAGGGGGTGAGAGTCCAAATTCTACTATCTGCCTTTGTTGGCTCTAGGAACACCCCTTCAAGAATGGATAACAGTGATGGGATACCATCAAGCTCTGTGTCCCTGATATCTCTTTGCAAGTCCATGTTCAAGCCGACCCCAGAAATAGAATTAGAAGGAACAATGAATGAAGACATCGGTTCATTTTTAAAAGTGGAAAGGGCAAAAAGGCTTGGGAATTGGTCTTTTAGGGAGGAGTCCCCAATCCAAACATGTTCCCAAAAATTAATGAGATTGCCTAAGTGCAAGTCATACCTGATCCATGGAGAAAACAAAGGTAGAATAGCTTGAATAGCTTTCCAAGGAGATGCTCTTGTACTCTTTGCCAGAATCCCAGAGTCTCATCCATTTGCTACAACCCCATGAATACTTCCCACTATCTCCACCCAAAGTTTGTCCTTCTCCAATGAGAACCTCCAAAGCCATTTCCCCAGAAGAGCCAAGTTCCTATTCCTTATATTCCCGATACCAAAACCTCCCTCCCTCTTACTCCTACAAACCATATCCCACCCCACCCTATGGTCCTTCTTCTCCTCCCCCGTCTCCCAGAGAAAGTCTCTCATTACTTTTTCTAATCTACTAGCCACCTTCGTCGGAATCTTGAAGATTGACAAAAAGTAAACAGGAAGGTTAGCTAAAGTAGACCTGATTAGAGTGGTTCTCCCTCAAAGAGACAAATAGTTTTTCTTCCAAGTTGCTAATTTCTTTTCAAACCTCTCCACAACTGGAACCCAAAACTCACCTTTCTTAGGGTTATCACCCAATGGCAAACCGAGGTAATTAAGGGGCCAATTTGCTATTGCACATTCTAAGATGTTTGCAGCCTCAGAGATCTCCGCCTCGCCCATATTTACCCCAACTACACAACTCTTCTCAAAATTCACCTTAAGGTTTGACATTTTCTCAAAAAGTCGTATAGTGAGCTTCAAATTTCTAATCTTGTTAGGGTCCCCTGCTTCACAAAAGAGTATGGTGTCATCTACAAATTGCAAATGTGTGAGTGGCACAAGCTCCCTCCCAACTCTCCGACCTCTGACTAAGCCCCTGGAATCTGCTCTATAAATTAGTCTCCCCAGAACTTCAGCTACCAAGGTAAATAAAAAGGGAGAGAGGGGGTCTCCTTGCCTAATCCCTCTAGAAATCAACCACTGTCCCATTTACCAGTATGGAGTAATGGCAGTTCCTGATACAACCCAAGACCCATCTGCACCAATTATCCCCAAAACCAAAATTGGTCATCACCTCCATCAAGAAAGAACAATCCACCAAATCATAAGCCTTTTCTAAATCCAGTTTACAAATCACCCCTTTTTTCTTGGATCTCTTAAACTCCTCCAAGTTCTCATTTGCTATCAGAATTTGATCTGTTATCTGTCTCCCCTTCACAAAGGCTCCTTGATTATCTGCTATAATTGTTGGGAGCACTTTCCTTATTTTGATGGACAGCACCTTCGTGATAATCTTATAAAGGCTATTGACTAGGCTGATCGGCCTGAAATCCTTTGGGTGACATGCATTCCTCTTCTTAGGAACCAGTGCAATAAAAGTGGAGTTCAGCCCTGGGTTGATCACCCCTCTAGAGTGGAATTCATCAAACACAGTCCACAGATCTTCCTTTAATATCTCCCAGCAATCTTGATAAAAAGCCATCGTAAAACCATCTGGGCCTGGTGCCTTTGATCTATCCATAGAAAACACTATGTCCCTTATCTCTTCCACTTCAAATTTCCTTTCCAGCCAATCCCTATCCTCTATCTGCAAAGTTGGCCATTCCATACCCTCAATCCACACCCTACTATTTAGGGGTTTTCTAAAGATAGACCTAAAGTGATTTGCAAAAGCCCCTGCTATTTTCTCTTTGGGTGGATATTGTAACCCCTTCAATCTCCAAACATGATACAAAATTCCTTCTTCTGCTTCCACTTGCCACCGCATGAAAAAATTTGGTATTCCTATCCCCCTCCTTCAGCCATTTACACCTTGATTTTTGTCTCCAACCTATTTCCTCCCGAATAAGATAATCCTCTAACTATTTATGCAATTTCCATCTGAGCTCCTTATCTTCTTCTGTTAGACAACCCCTTTCTTCCTTGCCATCCGAGTCCTCAATTTGTGCAGCCACTATTTGCTTTCTTTCCTCTAATCTCCCAAACTCTAATAGATTCCACTCCTTGATTTTGCCTTTCAAATACTGGAGCTTCTTATGAAACCTCATTCCACTCCATTTCACTGTTGGATTGCTTTCTAGCCACCACTCTTTGACTTTCTTTATGAACCCCGGGTGTCCTAGCCACATGTTTTCAAACCTAAAGGGAGCAAATCAGGTTCACTTGGAGATTGGACCAAGTAAAACAGCTGTGTGATAGTGGGATCTCTTTAAGCTCGTAAACATCCACAAATTGATTGAATTTCCTCATACTCAAGGTCGATCTCCGCCTCGGACTATTTGTCTCTTCCAGGAATCTTATTACTTTAAAGTCACCTCCAAGACACCAAGGCCCTTCCCATAGTCCCCTTATATCGGCTAGTTCTTCCCACAACTTCCTTCACTTGTTTAAACTTCAAGGAAATTGAAAATTGGCCTATTAACTCTTCCTGACCTATGAGTACTTCATTCTTCCACATTGTGACAACACCCCCCGTAGACCCCCAAGAAGGCAGAGCCGCCCAGCTAATCCCCCTGCCTCTCCAGACACTCTTTGCCCACCTAATGTCAAAATCTGCTCTCTTGGTCTCCTGCAAAAGTACCACATCTGGGTCTGTTTTCTTGATGGCCTCTTTTATTATTGCTCTCTTCCTAGCACTTCCCAAACCTCTAATATTCCAGCTTAAGATCCTCATCTAACTATCTTCTTTCCCCTTAGACCCTCTTGCCCTCAGTTATTCCTCTTCCTTCTTTCTCCTTTAACCTTCAAACCTCTATCTCCTCCCACCTCCTTCAGCAGCCTTTCAGCCTCACTCACTCTTCTCCTTTTAGATTTTGCTTCTTCTTTCATTGTTTTCAAAAATACTTTGAGAGCATTTGGATCTTTCAATTTGCACCCCAATTTCTGTACAAAACCTGCCACAGAATCCTCACTAATTACATCTCTTACACTTGACTTTCTACTTCCCTCCCCTGTTTGTCTCCCCACTTCTATCTCCTTCCTCCTCAAAACCCTCTACTCTAACTCCCTCTGACCCTTCCTTTTGACTGTTTTCCACCACTTCTTCATTTAACAAACACTGTAGGATTTCCAGGATTCTTTTCTTTTTTTTGTTTCTCCTTCATTCCCTACTTCTCTCTCCTGACCCTCCCTGTTGTTTCTATTTTCTCTCACCTCATCCCCTCCTTCAAGGGCTGCAGCCTCTGGGTTGGGATCTGTATTTGGCACGGAAGTCAAAGAGCAACAGTTAGTATCACAAAACGAAAGGACACGGTTACCCGGGTTGTGGTGGGGAAGACTGGGAGTGCTGGAGTTGGATACAGAAACAGTCTGGCCCTGACAAGAAATGTGGGTTCCATCTGGTTCCAAGGCTCGGTTCTGATTAGTTAGCCTTTCCGTCGCCTCTGTTAAACAGAGATCACATCTCTTACCCACCTGTTTATGCCTCCCCACTGTGTCCCTGTATTGCTTTTGAGAAGTCTCGAGGGATCCCTTACAAAAAACCTGTTCAGCAAGGAGATTTTGAGATGGAGCTTCTGAGTGTGAGTTAGAGTTTCCACCCCCAGAGTTCGAAATGTGTTCAGCGACAACAATGTATGGCTCTTCCTTAGCACGGTGAGACATTACCGCACCTGGTCTTTCTAAGAACAATGTATCCAGATCAAGAGTTGCAGCAGCTTCTTCCTCTGAAAACTTCTCACCCAAAACACTGCCTAAACTGGACTGGCTATCCGAAACTTCTTCCAYGTCTTCTTCCTCCATTTCGCAGTCCACCCAGCCCTCGTCAAAACCATCCTTTTCCTCGAGATGAGCTCGATCGTACCTGGGGTTTGGTCTGTCTTGTGATGTTCGCCCCTCCCTGGGTGTTTCAGGAACTGCACGAGGCACCCACCGGAGAGTACTTGAGCTTCGCTCTGACTGCCTGAGATCACCGGAGAGTACTTGACCACCGGAGGTGTCTTGTCCCTTCGAATTACCAGCTAATTCAAAAAATTTTGAATTTATTTCTTTTAATAGATTTCGTGGCTTTTGGTTCTCTCCCACCAACTTTTCAGCTTCCTTTCTAAGCTGCCCCCTATGTTCAGTCTTACCCTCCAGCTGTAGCCCCTAGTAATCCAACCCTCCACGTCAGCATCGTCTTCTACCTTGGATCTTCATCCCCCAAAGCTCTGCCTCCACCTCTGAAACTAACCATACTTTAAACCATGTACCTTCAGCAAGAACCTCTGTTGTTCTTGGGAGCGATTCCGGTCTCACTCTGACCATCCTAACCACAGCGGCACGAAAATCTTGCAGGGACTTCCTCCATTTCTCCACCCAGCAGCTTCACAATATTTCCCAGATTTGCTTCACTCCAGAGATGGAAGGGAAGACCTACCAATTTGAGCAGGAAACTTCCACAGACATGTTCCATCTCATTACACAACCGTTTCCAGTTTTGAATCTGAATCAAACTATCTTCACATTCAAATTATGTAAATCCCCTGATTTTCTCATCATCAATTCTCAACACTGCCTTACTGTCTGAGAACGGTTTCAGAGCAACCTCGGACTCCAGCTTCAAGTTGTGCACCACTGAGTTTAGGACCTTCCTCCAATCTTGTATTTCCTTGCTCGCTGAGATCACCATTCTCTGCTCCCAGTCTTCTTTCTCACCCTCAAACCACAGCTTCACCCCTGTATTAGAGCTCGAAATAAGT